CACTTAACATAATTTTCTCTAAGTTCATCCATGCTGCTGTGAATGGCAGAATTTCATTTGTTTTTATGGCAGAGTAGTATTCCATGGTGTATATATACCACATTTTCCTTATCCAGTCATCCATCAATGGACATTTAGGTTGACTCCATATCTTGGCCATTGTAAACAGAGCTGCAATAAATATAGGGGTGCGGGGATCCCTTTGACATGATGTTTTCCATTCCTCTGGATATACACGTAGAAGTGGGGTTACTGTATCATACGGCAGTTCTATCTGTAGTTGTTTGAGGAACCTCCATACTGTTTCCCATAGTGGCTGCACTAGTTTACAGCCCCACCAGCAGTGTAGGAGGGCTCCCCTGTCTCCACTTCCTGGCCAGCATTTGTTGCTCTCTGCCTGTTTGATAGTAGCCAGTCTAAGTGGAGTGAGATGATATCTCAGTGAGGACCACACTGTCCTGACTGCTGCTGCTCTGTGTAAGTTCTGAATGAGGAAGTGTGCCTCCTCCAACTTTGTTCTCACGCCACTGGTTTTATACTTTCCACTACTGCTATTGAGAAGTATGATGACATTCTGTTTTGCTTCTGTGTAACTTGTTTTAGTCTCTTTCAAATCTCTTAGGATCTTCTATTTGTTACCACTATTCTAAAATTTTGTGATGACATGCCTTGATACAGGTCACTTTTCATCCTGGTTGGGGTGGGTTGCTCTTTCCTGGCCCTTTTTTTTTCTCTCTCTTTTTTCTTTTTTTTTCCTTGGCTCTTTCAATCTGGATATTTGTATCATTTGATTCCAGGAACTTTTCTTAAATGACTTTTTTTGCTTCTATTTTCTATCTCTAATTCAGAACAACTTTCATTAGTTTATCCTTATCTTATTTATTTATGCTTATTAAATAGACCTTCTGGACTGATTCTACAATACTCTTTATCCTTTTTCTCCTTATTTTTCATCTTTTCATTTTTAGCTCTAATTTAAAATCTCCATAACTTTGTGTTCTAAATTTTCTATTTATTTTGGTTATTTTTGCTCTTATATTTTGAATCCCAAAGAACATATTCCCCTTTTTTTCCTTTTGTGTAGCATTCTTATTTTACATATGAATTGAGATTTTTCTTTCTTTTATAATTTATTTTGTTTGCTCACCTGTTTTGTTCTCTCTCTTTCAGGATAGAGATTTCCACCCCTGACTATATATACTCAGATTTGAAACTGGAGCACACACAAAAAAACCCATTAAGAGCTCTGTGAATACAGGTCGAGCTTTTAGCCAAGCCATTTTATCAGGAGAACTGCTGACATCGATCAGTACATTAAGATTTTGCTGTTGTTTTTCTCCACCTCTTGGGCTTGTCAGATTTCCCTAAGACGAATCTTCCAACCCTTAAGTAGAGTACATGAGCCTGGCTGCACTGTTCTGGAAGCTGAAAGGCTGGGGGAGGGAGGGGGAGAGGGCACAAGAGCAGGGTACAGTGTGGGTAAGGATGAAGGTTACAACATTATCTTCACTTAACTCTCCCATAATGTGTACCCTTCAACTGTCCCTCATATTCTCCCAGTCCAGCATCCCTCTGTTCCCT